TAAAAATATAAAATTTAATATTTTTCTATTTTACCTATTAAAAAAAAAATTGATAGTCTAGTCCAATATAGACACATCTCCCCTAGCAGATCTCTTACGTTATTAAATTTTTTATTACCTTTTCAATTTTATAATAGTTATTTTTGTTACAAGTATCTAAAATACAGTTCTTGCGAACAAATCGTTTCCGGACGAGGCGAGGCCGAGCATATGAGTCAGCAATTTTTTTTATGTATATTTTACAAACAAAATTTTTTTGTTAAAGCTTTTAAACACATTAAACTTTTTATTAGGTATGAAAATATAAGTAAAAATAATTTTGGTAAAAAAATTGAAAATTTTATACTTTATAATTTTTCTCTATTTTGAATCTGCTTTTATTACTTTTTTTACTTTTATTCGTCCTTTTCTTAGTTTTATTTATTTGTAAAAAATATGATTCCTAAAATTTTCAACTTTTCTGATGTTTTGTGTTTGAAAAAAATTTTGATTTCAATCATCTTCTAGCAGAAATACTTTTTTGCACAAAAAACGTGTTACAGAGTAAATGCGGAAAAGATGGACCACATTCTGGAAAACTTGTTGTAAAATTATGACTAATTACGTATGATTGATTTCTCAAAAATAGTAAAAATGATTAAATTTACTTTGCTAGTTAAAAAAATAATTAAGCAATTTTAGTGCTAATACCCCACTCTCTTCTAACAGAAACTAAAACTGAAAAATTGAAAATTCTACACAGTGTCTTTTCTTTGAAAACATACTTAAATGTTATTGAAAACCTTAGATTATTATCAAAATTTTTAAAATTGAGTGTCTCTAATTTTGAGGTATAAAAGTCCATCTCTCTCGGGTTTCCCCTACATTTCTGCGAATTTTGATTTTTCAATAAAATATTATTATTCTCTTTTCTTCTATTGCTAAAGTTTTTTTGTATTTTCTTTATTTAAAAACAATTTTAAATACGTAAAAAAATATATTAACATATTTATTAACTCTTATCGTTACTCATTTTGTTCTATAGATTTTTGATTTCAAAGATATTTTTGTTATGTATGTATAATAGTTTTTTAGTTTATATTACTGTTTGATGTCTTTAAAATTTACCTACTACCACTTTACCATACCAGTTTTTAGTTTTATTCAAATTTACTTTTCTACTTAAAAAATAATAACTAAGCCATTTTAGGGCTAATTTTAATTTGTATTTGCGTTTAGGTACCCTACGGTTCAATATACCCCACTCTCCTCTAACAGAAAACAAGATTTTGGTAAAAAAAATTGAAAACTTTATACTTTTTAATTTTTCTCTATTTTGAATCTAAACACTTAAAAAACTGGAAAATCTTTTTACCAAAATTTTCTTATTCTGATATGTAAAAGTTTATCTCTTTCGGGTTTCCCCTACATTTCTGCGAATTTTGATTAAAAAGTGATAAAATATTATCACTCTCTGTTTTTCAATTACTAATGTTTTTTTGTATTTTCTTTAAAACAATTGTTGATAATATTTAATTTTTCTGGAGTCAAGCAGAAAAAACGTACTATAAACCCAAGTATTTGATTAAAGTCCAGCAGGAGCGCCTCGCATGATTAATTTCTCGAAAATAGTAAAAAATAAGTGAAAATAGCAGCTAAAATAGTGACAAAAGTAAAAATGGCACCCAAAATAACTATTTTGCGTACTATTTTATTGAGTTCAAAAAAGCTAATTTTAGGGACTGAAATAAGTACGCAAAATATCTACTTTTGTGAGTGTATACAAAAAAGTGTATTTTACCATTCGGCTTTTTTAAATCTAATTATTTTTGACAACTTTTAATTTTATAAAAAGAAACTCTGTGCCTATACACATTTTCACATTTTCGAGTTTTACAAAATTTTGATTTCCGAAGAAAATTTTGTCACTACTATTTTATTTGTCCTTTTCTTAATTTTATTTATTTGTAAAAAACATGATTGTTAAATTTTTCAACTTTTCTGGTGTTTTGTGATTATTACCAAAATTTTTAAAATTGAGTGACTTTAATTTTGATGTGTAAAAGTCCATCTCTCTCGGGTTTCCCCTACATTTCTGCGAATTTTGATTTTTTAATAAAATATTATCACTCTCTGTTTTTCAATTACTAATGTTTTTTTTGTATTTTCTTTAAAACAATTGTTGATAATATTTAATTTTTCTTGAGTCAAGCAGAAAAAACGTACTATAAACCCAAGTATTTGATTAAAGTCCAGCAGGAGCGCCTCGCATGATTAATTTCTCGAAAATAGTAAAAGATAAGTGAAAATAGCAGCTAAAATAGTGAAAAAAGTAAAAATGGTAGCTAAAATAACTATTTTGCGTACTATTTTATTGAGTTCAAAAAAGCTAATTTTAGGGACTGAAATAAGTACGTAAAATATCTACTTTTGTGAGTGTATACAATAAAGTGTATTTTACCATTCGGCTTCTTTAGATCTAATTATTTTTGACAAATTTAAATTTTATAAAAAGAAACTCTGTGCCTATACATATTTTCACGTTTTAAAAATTTTTCACACATTTTCGAGTTTTACAAAATTTTGATTTCCCGAAAAAAATGTTTTCACTTTTTTTTCTTTAAGTACTACTATTTTATTTGTCCTTTTGTAAAAAATATGATTGTTAAAATTTTCAACTTTTCTGGAGTTTTGTGTTTAAAAAAAAATTGATTTTAATCATATTCTAGCAGAAATATTTTTTTGTACAAAAAACGTATTATAGGGTAAGTGCGGGAAAGATGGACCACATTCTGGAAAACTTGCTGTAAAATTATGACTAATTACGTATGATTAATTTTCCAAAAATTGTAAAAATGATAAAATTTACTTCGCTAGTTAAAAAAATTATTAAATGATCTTAGTGCCAATACCCCACTCTCCTCTAATAGAAATCAAAACTGAAAAATTGAAAATTCTACAGTGTCTTTTCTTTGAAAACATACTTAAATGTTATTGAAAACCTTAGATTATTACCAAAATTTTTAAAATTGTGTCTTTCTGAAATTCTAAAAGTCCATTTCTCTGGGGTTTCCCCTACATTTCTGCGAATTTTGATTCCTCAATTACTAAAGTTTATTTAAAAACAATTATTGATAAAATTTTATTTTTTTTGAGTCAAGCAGAAAAAACGTAGTATAAACCCAAGTATTTAAAGTCCAGCAGGAGCGCCTCGCATACCGCCGCATGCAAGTAGGAGGGAAGCTAACCTTTCACTGTTTAGTCGGATGCGCTCCCGTCACACTCCTGCAGCACCCAGCAGGACCAGTGACTAACCGTCCATCTGATCAGTTGCAGGAATCCGAGAAAATCCCGGATCGCTGAGTAATAAAACACTGAGATAAGAATCAGACACGATGTTTGCGATAATCCAGATCGAGAACGACGTTAGTGGGCGCGAGTTCCGTAGAAAAATGCGCCCGAAATACGAATTCATCTGCAAATATTGCCAACGAAAATTCACCAAATCCTACAATCTGATGATCCACGAACGGACACACAAAAGCCCCGAACTCACCTTTTCCTGCGAGGTGTGCGGCAGGGGATTCAAACGCCAGGATAACCTCAAACAGCACAGGTAAAACACTTTCACGCAATGATAGGCCCCGTGTTGTATATACAATTTTTGCTCGAAACTAATGTGTTGGTATTTTAGATGTAATCAATGCATATGGCGGTAAAGGGCTCCTGACCGATGGCTAATTCCGGCCCTGTTCTTCTTTCATTGCAATGTAAGACTTAACACACTGTTTTTTATATACTAAAACAACTTCACTTTGGGGCCTTTACTAATGCTTTTTTCAACCCAATTCACACTATTTTCATGATTTTTATTGATTTTCAGGACAATACACTACTCAGCTACGGCCTACAGCTGTTTTTCAAGATTTTAATTAATCTCGAATTAATTACACAATTTTCCTATTATCGCAGTATTCACCCAAAATTGCATTTTGTACATAAAACGTAAGTTAATTAAGTTAATTACTTTGAAATTTAGCCAGACTACAGTCTAGTCTAAAAATCCATTAATTAAATTGTGCAATTTCGACTTGTACTTCATTTTTTTAATAACGTACTAAACAATGTAAATTAACTGTGTTTTTTTTGCCGTGGCAAAAAAAACAACAGTGTTTAGTTTTAAGCTCGCAATATTTAGTTTAGGTTTTTTTGTAAGCATTATATTTATTAACTAGAGCTTTATATTAAATGATGAAACAATTGTGGTGTGTTTTTTTCCTGAAATTGCTTGCGTGTATCCGGAAATGGTCCGGAGGCGTCCGGTAGCACGAAGCTTTCACCGTTATTACACGTTGGGTCGTGCATAACAAGAGTCACACGGGAAGTTTCCGGGAAAAAATCCGGGATGGCGCCTCCGCCAAATCCGGGTGACATCATGCCGCCGCGCTATCTTATCCAATCAAATATTGACTAACTTAATTGATGAATTTCGTTTTTATGAGATTGTAAATTCTAATTGTTTTGCAACGCTCGATTAGTTTACTCATTACGTTTGTTATCGTTTATTTTTTTTTGATACAGTGAAATGAAAGTGACAGGAATTGATTGTGTGATGATTCGACAATGAAATTGCTTGCTTGCAAGTAGGAGGAATAAATAAAAATCGAAATTCTAATTGACGATGGTTACATGTGGTGCGGTCTTGCTTGGCTACGTGGATTGAATGTAATAGGGCATAGGCGGCTCGTCGCCGGTTCAAGAGAAGGGCAAAATCGAATTATTTAATTTTGTTAGATATTATTTCAGTTTTTACAATTTTTCAAGTCTAATTTCAAAAAAAATCAATTTCAACACAATTTTGAAAAATAGAATAAAAAAAGAGTAGAGAGTAGAATGTTGCATAAAACTTGGAGATAAAGCAGATATAACATTTTGCTAAAATAAAAAAAAAATTAAACAATTTTATACAAAAATATTATTACACCGAAATTAAAAAAGAAGCAGAAAAACACAAAAAAAATTGTTACTGATATGATGTGTAGATGTAGCATGTAGAAAGAAAAAAAGTAAGAGAGATATAGAACAAAGATAAAATATAAATAATTATATATTTTTATTAATGCTAGAATCGTACTCAGAAAACAGAAAAAAAATCAAAATAAAAACAATAAATAAAATCATAAAAGTAAATGAGTACACAGAAAAAAAACAGGGTGTTAAAAAAGATTGTAAAATATTTCAGGAGGTCATGGTATAGATCAAAACAAACAAACAAGTTTTTCTTGAAACATTTTTTGCAATCTGTTCAAACAAAAACTAGAAGCTTTTAGTAAAATTCTAAAATCTTCTACATTTGATATTTCCGAAACCGTTACTTTGCGGACCCGTGTTTAATAACACTTTTTTGTTTATTTTGGTCTCTAAATATTTGACAATCTTCTTTTAACACCCTGTATAAATAAAAAATATAAAAGTCGATGTTTTTTCGATTGCTGTTGAAAAAATTAAATCATTTCATTTGAAAAAACTGAGTTATAGCGGTTTTTGTATTATTTCCTAAAAATCATACTAGCCTTGAATTTTGACAGTTGACAGTCTTAAACGGTTTTATAAAAGTCTTTAAACTTTCGATTATTAAAACCAAAAAAAATATTTATTTATCGCAAAGTTCAAAAAAAAATTTTTGAATCAACTCTCGCAAATCAACATTTTGACAAAAAAAATTGACATATGTCAAAATCTATGAGAGATAACGTTAATATATTTGACTCAGTTTGAAAAGCTAAATTCAAAAATGCTATAAAAATAAGAGGTTTTATTTAAAATTTTAAAGTTGGGGCCAATTTTTCGTAGTTTCGAAAGTTTCACCATTTTGAAAATGATTTAGTTGAATCAAGAATAGTCGATTTTGGTCGTGGTCAAAGCCGGGGCTATATTGTAAGTCAAAAAATGTTTAATATAAGCTTTATAAGAATTACCCTGTATAAAAAAATAAAACAAGACAATTTGTTTTATAATTGTTTTATTGAAATATAAATCTCAAAAATAAAAACTCAACAATATGCGGTAAATTTTAGAAATATTAAGAAAAATAAAGTCACTAAATAAAAACTGGAAGTGGAAATAGAAAATCAAAAAGTATGCACTTTTGAATAAAAATAATGTACATTAAAATAACTAAAACTATTCTTTTTAATAAATTGGGCTAGAATGGCTATTAATTATAATATTATGAGAATAGAAAAAAAAAGAAAAGAGAGAAGAGAAAAAATAATAAAAAGAATAAAATACAGGGCGTTTAAAAAAGATTGTAAAATATCTAAGGAGGTAATAGTATAAACTAAAATAAACAAAAGAGTCTTAATGGATATGTTTTTTTTGTTTCTTATTTCTTTAGGTAAATTTAGTTATCAAAACTTGAATTTTTTTCTGTCTTTTTTTCACTTCTTTTTTCTCTTTTTTAAAAATTTGACAGTTAAAATTTGGTTGTATTTAAAACTTGTTATTTTTCTTTAGCTTAATTTACACAAATGCTTCAAAAAAATATATTTTTTTGAAAATTAACTTTACAAAACAATATAATTGCAATATTTTCTATTCTTTTTATTTTCCAACCTGCACTCTGTTTTCTCTTTATTTTCTCTTATCTCTTTTTTATTTTTAGTATTTAGTGTTTTTAAGACTTTTTTTTCTTTAAAAACTACACTTTTTTAGACAAAATTTTCAAAAGTTTTAAGTTCAAATTTGGGACCCAATATTTTTTTTTCTCTAGATATCACATAAACACTAGTAAAGTAAATAAACCAATAAGAAATGTGAATAATTAAAACCTTTTTCAATTTGCTTATAAACTGTTTTTTTTTAAACATATATCGAATATGAATTTTTTTAGAATTATAAAACAGTTTGCAAATAAATGTTTTTAAAAACGAAAATTTTTTGATATCTTTGAAACCGTTACTTTGCGGCCCCATGTTTATTAAGATTTTTTTGTTTTGGTTCATATTATTACCTTCTAAAACATTTTACAGTCTTTTTTTAACACCCTGTAGATGTTTAAGAAAATTGCAAAAAATGTTAAAATAAACAAAATAAAACAAAAATATATTAGAACAAAGAATAGAAAATAAGAAACTATAATAAGAGTAGATGCAAATGCTACAAAATAAAAAAGCAGAAAAAAACAATTGAATAAGAGACGTATAGCATAATTTTTAATAAGTATCAAATAAAATAAAATAATAAGAATAAAACTGTCAAACAGAAATAAAATTAAATCAAGGAGGTAACATTTAACAAATCAGAAACAAGAAATTTCGACATTCCTACAAAAAGACTTAAAATGAATCATTGTACAGTCAGCGACAAAGATAGTGTTGTATGACATTACTTTTGTGACTTATTGTACTCGACTCGTTTTTTTTTGTATTCAAATCCATTTCCCCTGTTTTTTCCTTTGCGTACGCCCCTGTCTCGTGAGAGTGACGTAGTAGTCAAGCAAGCCATGCGGATGAATGGACCTCGATGAGTGATTCGATCGCCTCCGGGCGGCAGCACTGTTGTGAACCGGGCGCACGCTAGATTCTCACACCCGCACGCTTTCTCCTCTTTATTCTTCGTGACGAGACGCCGCGTCGGCAACAATATGCCGCCTCCGCCGCCCCCGGAGCCGTCCTGTGGGGGTGGAAGAGTTCCGGTTAACGGAAATGCGCCCTGCGATGACCCCGGATGGGAACTGGAACAGCGCCCGGAGCCGATTCGGGATCCTCCGGGCGCTTCGTGAAATTAGCGAAAAATATGCGGAACTGAGTTGCAGTCGTGATCGCAGGAAAGATGATTGGGGATGGGTTGAGAGGAGGTTACCACGCGATTTATCACTGCTGGCTTTTAAAAACTGAAAAACTGAAAAAAAAAAACTGAATGTGAGACGCGCAATTATTAAATCTAGCTAAGCGTAGAGCAGTAATAGGAATTGATGCGAATAAAAATTTCCTGCTGGTTGGTTGCAGGAAACAAGAGGATTTGTTTCACTCGATTTTTTTTATTATTATGTCGGAGAAATGTTTACACAAGGCTGATTTATATTTTATACGATTTTACGGATTGTCAGCTTGAATTAATAAAGAGTCATAAATTAAAAATAAAATATAGTATACTGCTTGGTAGCTTGGGAAATACAGAACTTAAATGTCGGTTGTTTGAATTTAACACACTATAAATAATTTTAGAATTATTTTATTGTGTGATCATTAACTAAATTATTTTTCCAAAGTGTCAATAAAAGTGAAGCAGGAACAAAATACTTATCTATGATTTACAATTAATTATGAAGAATATAAAAAAAAACAAACATAAAAAAG